ACAAATGCATCCCTTCACCAATCCCTCTGACCGCCATCTTTCCTGTCTTTTCGAATGTTTCCCACCATAAAATAAATGGACCAGTGAAACCAAACAGCAAACAAACAAGCACTTTAAAAAATAAATAATTATAAACAAACGTAAAAATAAAATAAAAATAAAATAAAAAAAAAACTAACCAAAAATGTGACAACAACGACGAGGATAACGACAAAGACGACCTGAGGAGTGAAAATAATACGAATATAAAAATAATGATAATGAAAATAGAAGGAAACGTACAGTTTGTGAATTGCTCTGTCAGGAAATGTGGACATACGCGTTAATGGAATCTGTGGAGAAGGTAAAAAACGCTAAACGTGGCAGTGGAAACGGAATGACAAATGAAGAATACGAAAATGATTAAATGAAGAAAGGAAAATGTCCTCGTGGGAAAGAACAAAAGAAAGCAAATTGAGAATAAAGGAAATCTACAACAATAAAAAATAAATATCAATGCGATAATATATTGAAAAGCAGAAGCGAATGAGTGCAGTGAGGCGAGAGACGCTTATTTGTTATTTGAAATCAGAATGATGCTCTCGCCTTTCGAATTTTTCTCAAGAATTTAAATTGATTATTTTTATGCTTTTCTTTATTATAAATGTTTTCCTCTGGATCGTTTTATAGTCAAATATACGTCTAATCTGTTCATATGTATCTATCTATCTGTCTATCAATCTACTTATTATCTATCTATCTATGACTTTCTCTCTCTCTCTCTCTCTCTCTATATATATATATATATATATATATATATATATATATATATATATATATATATGTATATATATTGAAATGAACTATTCGTACAAAAAGTAAATTATTAAAGGTAATGATATAAAACGGCGAAATAACTTCGCATAGAAAATGTTAAATGTACATTAACCTACCAATCCCTCGATGAATTTTATGAGCCTTGTTTTTGTTTAAATTATAAGCTATATAAGGTCTTTCTCAAATACGCAAGTATTTCGACTGTACATTCAGTCATCTTTGGGAATGGAAATTATTTTATTTTCGTAAAATACAGTTAGCATCCATGACGAAAATAATTAAATCGCACCACATATATGATATATATATATATATATGATAGGCTTTGTTTGGAAGTCTTGATATATATATATATATATATATATATATATATATATATATATATATATATATATATATATATATATATTCTTTAATTTTTTTTTAGTGGATACATATATTTAAAACAATATATCTCCAGCAGAACATATTTTCTCTGATATGTTTTCTCGAATATTCAAGCCGGAAGATGAAAAAATACTGTTTAATAGATAAATAAAGCGCCTACTAAAATAGATGTCTCCACTTTAAGTAATATAAATATGTTCGATTAATAAATAAATAGTACATCTCATTTTTTACAGATTGATTTATATATATACTAGCTGCATGGCCCGGCGTTGCCCGTGCTTGATTCAAAAATCGTACAACTCATAACGCAATCGCTATCACTTGACTTAAAATATTTTTGCCCTTCCTTGCCTTTAAAGGAGTGCCCTTTGCCATGCTGATGTTGCTACATGCCTTACTTCTTGCCTATCACACACTGCGAATTTTTCCTAAGCTCTATACTAAACATTAAATCTGTTGCGAAAAAAGAACTAAACAAAATGAACACAAAACGATCAGCTTTAAAAAAGGACTCGTAACTGGAAAACCCAAATGAAAAAAGAATGTTAACAACAAATACTTTTCACACCCAACCCAGTTCTGCGGAATCAGAATCAACGTTGAGTTTGAGCAAGCGAATGAGTAAAGTGCCATGCAGATTTAAATTTTTCCCACTTGTGACGAATGCAGATATCTATTTCTTTTTTGCATCCTAGCATGGTAGTTAACATTCGTGCCAGACAGCTGTTGGCTCTCACGCTGGCCAATAGAATCTTCCTGCCTATTCGTGGTAGCCAGCTATAGGCTCTCACTCTGGCCAGTACAAAACGGCCGCAAACTACATGAAAATTGCCGTAGAAGTATGAAAAAAATCGATCATTTCCACTATCGATGGGAGTTGGGGAAATGCAAAGACGGTCTTGGCCTTCCCGCTAACTTGGAGCATGTGCAGTTAAATTTTGGTACTAATCTGTCGAAAATTGCGACCGTGCATTTGTTACACATACAAACATTCTGCCTTTATATATATATATATATATATATATATATATATATATATATATATATATATATATATATATATATATATATGTGTGTGTGTTTGTGTGTGTGTGTTACATCACAAGATATTTGTTGTGTATACCCGTGTTAAAGTAGAAACACCGTTTATTTATGTTTTATATATTTAGTCTATTTATCGTTAAATTTGCTTGATTGTGAAACGCCACGTTGCCGGCTGGTGAACGTACGCTGGACAAGACGGTAGATTATTCAGTAAAGGGGGACGCAGTTTCGAATCTTACAGAGAGCGCATTTTCTTTATTAAGTTTTTCTTGAGTGTTTAGGCCGCTAGATCAAATAGATACTATTTAAAATAAAACATAATGTCTCCTCAAATACGGGTGTTGATTAACATAACACTTGAAGTAAGAACAATATTACAGATTAAGATATTGAATATCATTAACTCTATCTATCTATCGATATATATATATATATATATATATATAGAGAGAGAGAGAGAGAGTCATCCACATATTAGCGTGTTTCACTCTATCACAGCTGATCAGTGTGGCTGGATGATTGATTGCTTAAAGCCAGGATCGAAACTCGACCAATTTGGCATCAGTCAGATTTCCTACCTCTAAGCTATCGTCGCACGACCTAAAAAGCGTTATTTTTTAACGTATTATATACGAAATGTATACAAGCACCAGCGGCCAAGAGGGCTTAATTTGTAATTGAAAAACAAAGTGTCAATAGCAGGAGCAGCTTTTAAAAATTAGCCTTTCTCTCGAGTTTTAGATCAGGTAACAATGTCTCCATTCAGTTTCTTACACATATAAGAGTTCTTAATTTTGTGAATGAGATATTTCATTAGTAGAATGCTATATTATAAAACATAAAGAATAGTAGAATAAAAATGAAATCTCTATATGGAAGAGAAAGTGAAAACATAGTAGTAGGCAAAAATATTAATGTTTCTTGGGTTACCGATAGACGGCGTTATTTAGGTCTATAAAAAATGCAAACCTTTCATCCTCTTTCTTTTTTTTATTGCTCTAAGACTTAGTTCTCGTAGATTAGAAAACCCGCTGGGATACGTTCGTTTCCTCCGTTCGATTTGACTACTGAACTCTAAAACGCACCTGTGTAGCACAAACGCTTGTTTCTAACACGAAAACAAACACATTCTCGTAGCCACTTTGAATGCATTTTCTTTGATTTCTGTTGTATGCATATATAATTTATTTTATTAATACATACATTAATTGTATTTTGTTATAATTCCAATGTTTTCGTTCTTAATTTTACCCAGACTTGCATGTGTTGGTCTAATATTATTTAATTTCCAGGCGATGTTAAATATTAATGGAATCCGTAACACATCGCAACAAAAGAGCTGATCCCTACAACAGGTTTAATAAGAAATGAGTGAAATTATTTCGAACAGTTGTCATGCAAACACATGCTTTGTGAAAAAGGGAAAAAATCTATAGATCTCTGGATTGTCCAAGAGAAACTGACGCCTATTTTGAAAAAGTTTTATGCATGGACTATGATTTAGATATGAATAAAAAATAAATTTGCATTTCATACATATATATATATATATATATATATATATATATATATATATATATATATATATATATATGATAAATATATAGTTTTAAGTTATGTCATACTTATAGATAAAAGTGCTCAATATCAGTGATAGAGCATGTGTAAATATAAAAGTGATCAACACAAAGCGGCAACAGTCTGAATTTATATTTGAACATAATCTTCAGTCCACAAGAATGAAACAGGTTTTCGTCGCTCTGTGTTCACTATATTATATATATATATATATATATATATATATATATATATATATATATATATATATGACGACTTACTTTGTTGTACAGTTTGCACAATTTCTGTCTAATTATTTTCGATATATATATATATATATATATATAGAGAGAGAGAGAGAGAGAGATGTGAGATAGATAGATATAGATGATTCATAAAAGAGCACGATATCTCTATACAGAGCAATATAATTAATAAACAAGCAAACCTTTTTACCTGATATATATATATATATATATATATATATATATATATATATATATATATATATATATATATATATATATATGTCATTCACAGACAGTAATATTCGCTATATAACAGTTTCTCAGTGAGGCTAGACAACCAAATGCCTCAATCCCAGAAACCCAACCGATTTGGCGTCAGTCAGAGCTTCTAACACACACACACACACACACACACACACACACACACACATATATATATATATATATATATATATATATATATATATATATATTCTGTTTATGCGTTATTTGAATCGATACAATGTATTTACGGAAATGTTTTTTTGTTTTTCGTAGCAATGTCCGAATTACTGTTTATAAACATGATCTTCGAAGATGTTTCTCGGACGATTATAGTTGCTCACGAAACCTAACTTAACCTAAATACTGACAATATATTTTGGAATGGATTAAGTTCGAGAATTGTTTAATATATTTTCGGCTTATACGTCATGTTACTAGGTAGAATTTAGCTAAGTAAATCTTCAGTTTATAAAATTAAATGTTAGGCCGGTAAATGAAAATAATACCGTTTATTTAAAATAAAACAGAACATTTACTTAAATAAATTGCATCTATTGAAATAACGTGCATATATATATATATATATATATATATATATATATATATATATATATATATATATATATATATATATATGAGGTGTAGTTAAACCTATATAAATACACAAAAGCCCATCACAAAATGTTTGGTCATTTTTCCGATTTGAAGAAATGGGCTAAAACCTTGAACATTTTAAAATATCCCTATCTATCTATCTATCTATCTATCTATCTATCTGTATATATATATATATATATATATATATATATATATATATATATATATATATATATATATATATATATATATTATTTCGTTCTACCTTCCACACTTTCATTTCTAATGACTTTATGGCATTATCTATCATATCCTTCGGTAAATCCTTCCTTTTTTTCTTTCCTTGTCGTCATTATCTTTTAGCTTCGCACCGTCTCCGCTTCTCTGTTTCCACATATCTATTTCCCGCTCCTCTATCTTTGACATGCGCACTGCAATCTCTTTCCGCGATTACATTCTCCATTAGAGTAACGAAGCTCTCCGTAAATTACATCCCACTCTCCGAGCAAAATTGCATCCAGTTTCCGATGAGTTGCTTATCGCTTCTCTCCTCTCTTTCCTTTTAGTTTTCCTCCTCCCGGACTTTCCAAACGCTATTCGTAAATGACACTAATTGATTCAATATCGGTGGTAGGTGGAAGACAAGCAAGCTGGAGTGAACAGAAGGGGCTAAAGTCAACAAAAACTGAGCGTGTCTAGAGTGAAAATATATCAGAAAAAGGAAATGTAACAATGTCCTTAACAAATGAAGAAGAATATATACGAAATCAGAGAAGGAAGTGGCAACTGAGAGTGTTACGCTTTGGCGCGTATATGCACACACAGAGTGAGATTAAAGCGATTATATTTGCCTTTGATCATCTTTTCTCTTCATTATCTGCACCTCGTTATCATTAACCAGCCGTAATTAACCCATCCGCCATATCTTTCACCCACCTTTTATTTCATTTCATTTTTTAGCGTGGGCAACAGGTTTCATCATTCTGGAATTATAGCAATACTATCAACAATTACGCTTATATGTCTATAAAATGATTTTAGTTAAAACGTCTATTATATCGGCCAGAATATTTTCTACGCTTTGAATATTTAGGAATCCATATTACCCAGTAGTTTGCTATAATTGGTGCTCAGGCTAAAGATTTAGATAATTCACTGATCTTATCTGCTTATGCCCGTTCGTATAAGCACCCGACACTAGCGGCTGCTTTACTCTGGTATGAGAGCTTCTGATCTGATTATGTTTAGTCATAATTTATGAGTGCAAGGGGTCTTATCAGGCGTTACTTGAATAATAAGAATGAACGTCACTGGTTGAAGCAGTACTGAAACAGTGTACCAAATATACCAACAGTGCAGTGCTGAAACAGTGTACCAAATCGATCTATCTTTTGCAATATCGATTATAGTTTTAAAGAACTTGATATGGATCAATTAAACATTTCATATCCAATACGAAACAAATCTCCTTATACGAAACAAAATGTGTGTTTTCCCTTTAGATGTTAGTGTAATGTTGGTGAAGGAATTGTGCTGATCGCATAGGTATTCATAGTTTGGATAAGAATTATCTTGAACAAAAATAACAATATTCTTTATTAAGTGTTAGTTAATATAAACCATTCCAAAACATAAACTATGATATGCAAAATCTATTAAAATATTCTGGATGAGGAATCAATATATATATATATATATATATATATATATATATATATATATATATATATAAACACTTCAAATATCTTAATATCTAAGTAAATATAAAATATTATAGGATTTAAAGTAATTGAACATAGAAAGGGGATCACTATTGTGTAGGCTTATCTAACACCCATAGATGTGACAAAATAAAAAAAAACAATTTCAGAACTCGTAACATGTTCTTAATTAGCCTTGTCAGATGTAGACATTGATGAGGTTTGAATGAATAGCGTTGAGCAATCGCAGACATATTTAGAATATCTACAATCGTTTCGCCAGATCATTGATTACAAATGGATTCAAACGAATGAACTGGGTGGGTTGTCTTGAAGAGGAGTTGCCTTCATCAGATCTCGTATATTAGAGCAAAAATTTCACAAAAACGTATTTAACATGAAGTGTTTAAATAGCGGCAACTACTAAAAACAATGGCACAGAAAAGAGAAAAATAATAACAGAATCAAGATTAAGGCGTCCCATACCACATTAAGAAAGGTTTAAGAATCGACACTAGAAAAAATTAATGCTCGAAAGAATTAATGCTAGAAAAAATTAATGCTAGAAAGAATTAATGCTAGAAAGAATTAATGCTAGAAAAAAATAATGCTAGAAAGAATCAACTCTAGAAATAATTAATGCTAGAAAAAATTAATGCATGAAAATTAATTTCAACAGTGATGATAACTCATTGTTCAATGGGCGCCAGATATTTCCTTATAAGGAAACACCTAATCTGACCATCACTATTATCATTTTCATATCTCTCTCTCACTCTCTCTCTCTCTCTCTCTCTCTCTCTCTCTGTTATATATAGAGAAGGTGGATGTTCAGATTAGTGCAACTATTATCGGCACTATAAGTTGAATCGTCGATTTGATTTCAAATTCCGGTCTATTCTGTTTTGTTCACTTAGCACTAAGACTCTTGGTAAAGGAACGAAACGCTCTTTCCCTGGCCGCGGGTATTATATCGAGATAAACGAAACTTGTTTGCCTTGATTGGCAATCAGTTTAGGAGAATGAAAAATATGAACTGAAATGAAAAGAGGGATGGTTCGAGGAAGAGTTTGCACGGTTTCTTTGGTATCAGATCTTGAGAAAAATGAGATTGGTCATACCCAAGGTACCGGTGCTATAATCAAATTAAATGTGTGCAAAGTCCAGCCGTTCGTATCTAAACTGAAATCGGAAGTCGAAAATAATGGGAGAGACACCTACACACAAACGTTCGTGCTACAAGCACGCACAGACACACTCGCACGCACGCGGGTACACACACAAATCAGACGCACACACACACACACACACACACACACACACACACACATATATATATATATATATATATATATATATATATATATATATATATATATATATATATATACAGAGAGAGAAATGTATGTCTGCATAAATATAGAGTGTGACTGAAAGTAACTCCCTAGTTTATGTATGATGGACACATCCTCCATTTATAATTTTTATATGAGAGTCCATCATTCATTAAATTTGGAGTTATTTTTTAACCCGCCTATATATATATATATATATATATATATATATATATATATATATATATATATATATATATCCCACGATCCGTTTCGGTGAAACGTAGGTAGGTTTACCTCGCTCTTTAGGGTTTATATTAGGTTTGCTCCACTTCGTGTATGGAGCACTTTACGTAGTTGATTTTACTCGTTTTGTAGTTTTTCACTTTTTTTTTTTTTTTTTTACTCTGTGCTTGAATTCTGGACGATTGTTTTTTTTTTTTCATGTTCTTTTTTTTTTTATTTCTCATTTTTTCTTGGGTCTTGGTTTTGTTCAACTACAAACCGAAATACCTAAGGTTTTTACAAGTACCAGTATATATATATATATATATATATATATATATATATATATATATATATATATATATATATACACACACACACATATATATATATATATATATATATATATATACACACACATATATATATATATATATATATATATATGAGAATGAACGTAACTGGCCAGAAAGATAATCCATTTAGGGGAAGAAATCTTCTGATTTTAAACCTCTGTTACCAAAACACGTGATAGGCTATAGATATAAATCCAGACAGAAAACACGTAGTGAGGCCCCGAATGCGGTTTTAGCTGTAAACACTGGCAACATTCTTTTACCTCCTGCAACCAAGCCTATACCCCAAATGTATTACTTTGAATCTTGTCGGTACGGCCGAGTTTATGTTTATGGAATCTGGTCATCGCACAACCTCCACATAGCCTAGGCTTGGTCCAGTCTCACTACGAAAAGACAGGGCACTAACCTTCTCCCGTGAGATAAACGTACGCCTATAGTAGGCCGCATGCAAATAATGTGAATAACACTAACGTGAAGTTATGCGACATTCGGCAAATTATAACTTTTTCATTTCTCATTCAGTCATATTAGAACAATTAATACCAGTCTCAGATAGAATTGGTTCTGCTGTTCAAATTGTATTAAATATGATGTAAACATACAAGTAAACATACCAAGCTAAGGTTGTTTCTGATCGTCCTGGGCGTCGTCAGCAACTCAGGCTGTGTTCCGTCTCCAATGTGTCCTACGAAGGCTGGGAGTAGACCGAAAATCTTCAAATCAAAAAGGGAAAGAAACCAGCGCTGCCCTCATATCAAGATCTTGTTTGAGGCTACCGTCATGGACGCAGTAGTTATCATGATCGAGAACCCCTTGATCTGGGAACTCAGTCGCTTCCGAAGTTGCGTCATAGACGCCTTTCAAACTGAGATCAATTTTATGACATATTTTTTTTGTATTCTTCGTTGGACATATTTACATTTTGTGTGCGTGTGTTTGTGTGTGTTGCGTGTGTTTGTATATGTGTGTTTGTGTGTATGAGTTAGTGCGTTTGTGCGTGTAAAAATCTCAGATAGAGTCTCTGTAAAAAGTCAATATGGATAAAAACAAAAGGACTACTGAAAAATAATATTAAGGATTACATGATTAAAAACCACCAACACAAAGACTCATATTTCACCAAAGGATACATCTGGGTCTAATTACAGCCATACTCGAAAAACACACACACACACACACACACACACACACACACACACACACACACACACACACCCGCTTCCCTGCAGATGCAAAACATTCATATATCCCCTTCCAACAAAGTCGCTGGAATTATAATTATGGACATGCAAATTTATCTACAAAAAATGAGACCCATTCAGGATGATTATTGTGTCTACGAAAAATAAGTGAACACATGCTCATAAGAATGACACAAAAATTTAAAAACGAAGCCTAGAAATTATTGATATGAACACAATTCCTGGCCAAAACCTATCGAACGCCACCTGAAAACACCCAGACATTACAGATTATCAAAGATACATAAACCTGACATCATTATAAGGCTCAATTTATGAGGCTTAGGCTACGTCCCATTTAATCAAGCCGGTACATAAAATTTTAACCCATTTATGGTAGAAGAAGCTCCTTGCATATCACAAAATGCTGGGGATCTTTTAAATAAATTAAACAAAAAATGTATGAATAGTTTAGATTTAAATTAAACAAATATATGATTAGTTTATATTTAATGTCCATATGCCCAAATGTTCCTGTAAAGAAATTTCTACATTAACTAAAGACACACTTAGCCAAAATAGAATGATCTATTCCTATACATATAATCATGGCACTGTGTCATTTAATCACCAATCGATGTTTTTTTCAGAATCGATAACAATTTTTGTAGACATAAATTTGGCTTATCGAAGTGGTCTCCTCTCACTAACGTTTTAACTTGTCTATTTTTAAAGTTAGTGGACAGTGGTCCTTTTAAATTTATTTTACCCTCTGATCACTAAACACGGGGAAACTTTTATGCAAACTGCCGATCCCTTGTTTGTCACTTCAGTCTTGTTTACGCAGAATTTGGGCGAAATGGAATAATAACTCTACAGAACCAATATTTGTGGGCGGACTGGAATCCCCATGATGCAATACAGGCTAGACAGTAGCATCAGTTTAAGATTAATGTGTGGGATAGAATGGTAGGTAATCGTAAGTTCATATGTTCTCCCAACTCGTCTTACAGGTGCTGTCTACAGGGACTTTATTTCGAACATACTTACATATATGCTAGGGGAAGTATCCCTGCTAATACGAAGAAGCATGTGGTTCCTTCATGATGGGGCTTCAGTAGATTTTAGTCACAGTGTTCACGATGCACTGGTTGAAATCTACCGTGAAAGATTGATAAGTAGAAGAAGACCTGTTCCATGGCCTGCAAGTTCTGCTGACCTCAATACTTTGGATTTTTTATCTGTGGCCACTTAAAACAATTGCTTTATGCAGCAGACATTAATAATGCAGAGACGTTTCATTAAAGTTTAATGGGTTCCTTCGAAACCATTCGACACGAATATTTTAAAAACTCCAACAGTCAATGATCTGACGGATGCATGCGTCTGTAATACCAAACGGCGGACATTTTGAACATTTGTTATGATGTGCTGTGTTGAGGTAAATCGATTTTGTTTTGAACATAAGTTTATATGGACATTTTACCTTGTTTCGGTGTCAGGAGCCAGCCTCAAAAATTTGTAAATTTTTGTTTTAATACACCTTGCATACATAAAATTAATATTTTTATCTTACGCTGACAAACGGAACTGTGTCTCAACGAAGCAACAAATAAAAAGATAAGTTATGTCAACATTTATTTTATTTTCTGTCTTTCTGTCTCTCTCTATATAGGGGAAAGAGCGATATATATATATAAATATATATATATATATATATATATATATATATATATATATATATATATATATATATACAAACACTCTAACCCCTTATTGCCCTCTTTCTTAAATATAACACATTTTATACACGATATATCAATAAGAAAATATCTGATAGTAATAAAATTAAACATAGAAATAGATTCAGTACTAAGCAATAAATAAATAAATTTAGAGTATTTAGTAAAAAACAAAGAAGGTAAAAATAAACAGAACACCGTAGGCGTAAAATGAAACGGTTTAATCCACTTTTTAATCCTGATGTACAAATAATTATCGGAAAATTTTTCCTAAATTTAATTCATAAGGACTTTAACCATTCACCAACACTAAAAAAGGATTTAAAAAATAATTTTAAGCTGCATTAATGGCATGGATAAATCTAAACCCTGTCGCAGTGTGCCCAAACACCACTCCCACCTTTTCTTAAACAACCCCGGATATGCCTGCCGGTAGAGAAAGGTCACGACCCTTGTGTGCTAAAAATAGCAACGACATATTTCAAACTGACAGAAACACACAAAACTCAATTTTCGCCACTAAACAAAAATAAAAGACATTTTATTTCGAACCGAAATTAATTTAAATACAGTCAACAAACACCGAACATACTTTTGACTGTAATTAATACGGCCCGAAATTAATTATATTCATTTACTTGTTTAGCGTCACCGCTTCTCTTGTATGAATCGTCATATCTAGATGCCCGAGACTTCGCAGCGGTTTTTAGCCGGCCCGGGGGAGCAGCCCGGCCTTCGGGCTGGGTTGCGACCCATGGCAAAGTCTAGTTTGGACCATATCAGGACCTGCTAAGACAAGCCAAGACCAACTTGGACCAGAACTTGACTAAGCTTTGACCAGCTTGGACATGTTATGACCAATCTTTGACCAGTGACCCTATGCGGAAACGCTTGGGTTTTCCCACGAAAAACAACCTTGTGTCACGACTTGACCGCGTGGAGTCAAGTAATCCCAACGACCTTGTGTCACATCTTGACCTCGTGGGAGTCAAGTAAATACCGCCGTCCAGGGAGCAGCCTGGCCTTCGGGCTGGGTTGCGACCATGGCAAAATCTAGTTTGGACCATATCAGGACCTGCTAAGACAAGCCAAGACCAGAACTTGACTAAGCTTTGACCAGCTTGTGCATGTTATGACCAAAACATTGACTAAGCCTTGACCAGCTTGGACATGTTGTGATCAATCTTTGACCAGTGGCCCTATGCGGAAACGCTTGGGTTTTCCCACGAAAAACGACCTTGTGTCACGTCTTGACCCCGTGGGAGTCAAGTAATCCCACGCAAAACGACCTTTTGTCACATCTTGACCTCGTGGGAGTCAAGTAAATACTGCCGGCCAGGGAGAAGGGAGCCTTCCTGATTCGCGACTTTGACGCGCCCAGTCAAGTCGACCAAGCCCAGCAGCTGACGGGACCCAACAGCAGTAGCAGCAGTTGTTCAAACAGTCCTTTTCAGGGCTAACTTCCGAAAGTCATTCGATCACCACTCTTCAAGGCTCCACTTCACTCTCTGCTACTGCCTTCCCTCTGAGACGCCAGCTCACCCCTGCAGCTTCCAGCACTCCTGCAACTTTCAGCTCACTCCTGCAGCTTCCAGCACTCCTGCAGCCTCCAGCTCATTCCTGCAGCTTCCAGCACTCCTGCAGCCTCCAGCTCACTCCTGCAGCTTCCAGCACTCCTGCAGCCTCCAGCTCACTCCTACAGCTTCCAGCTCACTCCTGCAGCTTCCAGCACTCCTACCGCTTCCAGCTCACCCCAACAGCTTCCAGCGGCCTCCAGCTCACCCCTGCGGCGCTCTACTGACGTCCCGCTACCTATTCCAGCACCCGCTGACGATCTAATCCAGCACCCACTGACGTCCAGCGCCCGTTAACGTCCGGACACCGTTCCCGAACAAACGACCTCTGTCGTCTTACCATCCACCGTTCGCAAATAAAGACACGATTTCCATCGTCTACAACAGACCATCTGCGTTTGTCATCCTTCTTTGCTATTGCCATCTCCTTGCCTTTGTGTCCCCTAGTTTTAAGGTCGATTGGCACTCACACCTCTCGGCCCGCTGCAACAACCCTAACATAACATTTATAGTTATAGGGACAAAAATATTAAACAAGTATATTTCCAACAAAGACAACGTAAATTTTTCTACAAGAAATAAATGCACCTGCCGAAAATATACGATCTGTCCTGTAAAATGTCAATGTATGACTGATAATATTGTATAACGAGCTACCATACATCCCGGTAACGATGTTAAATTCTATTTTAGTTCCACTGAAAACGCTTGGAAACTTTGTTTCTACCATCAATGAAAGATTTTGAAAATATAAAATACAAAAAATAAAAAAATAAAAAATAATCACTGTTCTCTCCAAATAGTTCTGGCAATTAAAGAACTATGGTAATTCATCTTGTATAAACTGGGATATTATACCAAATCTTATAACAGGAAATAAAATAGATTTAACTATTGTCGTGTTGAAAAATTTGAGAAATGAATTGATCGTTATATATAGGCATAAAAATAAACATCTTCTTAAATACGTTGATTCAAATTAATTTTTATATAAATTACGGTTTATTTTTAAGGTAAATTATGGTTTATTTCTGTTATTTTTTTTAAAAAATTGAACAAGTATTCTCCCTTTAATTTTTAAAAAATAATATTCACAACTCTAAAATCCGGCATGTTTTTAATCTATTTATTTTAAATGGATACTCATACATATATATATATATATATATATATATATATATATATATATATTTTAAAATATAAATATATATATATATTTTTGAAAATATATATATATATATATATATATATATATATATATATATATATATATATATATATATATATATTTTTATCATCATTAATCATCATTAAAAAATATAGTATTTTTATCATCATTAATCATCATTAAAAATAACGCATATTTCTGTTCTTAAGGAACAATATTTCTATATAGTGACCGCTTGCAGTTCCAGTCTTATACCAAAATTAAACCACCTTAGTAAATATATGTTCCGATCCGAAGTAACGTTTCAAGGATAAAATGGATTGATGCCACATAGAACGTTGGTGTAAAAATAATAATATACGAAATTCTTGCTGGATGTCACAGAAATCTGTTGAATATATATGTAGAGGAACTGGCATAGAAATAACAAATCCTCGTGTATTCGTTTGAATAATTCAAAGAATAATATATAATGAATATTTCATCATTGAAACTCAGACATTGTTGAGGATGATAAAACAGTACATCAAGCGAAACGTATTAATCAAAACGAAAAAAGATAGAGTTAAAGAATTCATAGTTAAATGACATATATTATCGCAAAACATAGGACTTTTTTCCTCTTTATTTTTGTAATGGCTACTCGGTGGACAAAACGACTATAATTCAAGTCAATGCCAATTTCAGTGTAAGCTTATCCGGAAGTAATATCTAATTTTGGTATATTTGTGCTATATTATATTCCTCAAGGCAAAACAATGAAAATAACTTTAATGGGGACCTCGAATGCCAAAATCCTCTATGCCTCCATTCAGACAGAAAAAAATATATAGGATTTTATTTTTAGAAAAAAGACACAACTTCTCTGTATGGAAATGAAAACATTGTTATTAAAAAATATAATTCAACCAGAAAATTGAATTCATTGCCTACACTCGTTGTTGATCTAATGTAAATCATGATCGGAATTTTTTGTTATAACACAACCTCGGTATATACTTAATTGCATGTCAGGTTTTAGCGACATACGTCGATACATGCAAGATGACGTCTGTGAGTGTGTTGGTAGAGAAATCCTTTTGTTCGTTTGATAACAATATTTCACATTTATCAGCAGCGTTTGATCTCGAGTTTTATTTGTTCCCTTCAAGTGACAGGTATATTCATATGCACAGAGTTACTTAGATATAAATTGAGACTACAGTGATAGCTCTGAACGGACTTATTTACTAGAAAGATATTATTATTAGTGTGATTATTACTAATTCCATCTTCATTAATTATTGAATATTATTAAAATTCTTATTACTAATCTTCATCTTCAAATCTCTACATAACAGCAACTTCCCCAGAATCCTGGCTATCGTAAACACCTCAGTATTCTGTAGTATTTCAGTTCGGATCTCAGCACCAATCATCATTTAATTTTGTCTGTCACAGCAAGGTAATGAATAACTCCAATTTTCTCACCCGCTCCAAATCGGGCAACTTATGTTTAAAATCTAAACAGCCTTCCGTTTTCTATCTTCATTTCTCTACAACCATAACGTGACTTCTTTTATTATTATTATTATTATTATTATTATTATTATTATTATTATTATTATTTCCTTTGATTTCTGGCGTTTACACATTTCTTTCCTGGTCTCGCCTAGGGACCTAAGGTTAGAAATGGCGTCATGACACTTTCCACTGACAAAAAGAAAAATACATAGATAAAGCCCTTCGTAAAGTGTGGGCTGTAATTGTCAGAACAATTTTTTGTATCGCCTTGAGGCATGGACTTCCAGGAATCCCTTCAATTAGTCTACTGCAATCTTTTCCAACCAGTCCTAGGGCTCCAACTACAACAGGGATTGTTGATGTTCCCATAAGCCACATTTTCGAGATTTCTATTTCAATGTCCTTGTACTTTGACAGCTTTTTGAATATCTTCAAAGATACATTGCAGTCAGCAGGGACTGCGATATCAATAAGGAGGCACTTTTTGCTTGTGGTCTCAAATAGCAATGTCTGGGCGGTTGGCTTTGATTGTTCTGTCAGTGTGTATTGTATAGTCCCATAGAATTGTAACAGGTCCTATCTCCGTAACGGGGCTGGGTGGTGTTCATACCAGTTTCTTTCAGTTTTCTTCCTGTAGAAGTTAAGGATTTTCCAGTGCAGATATTGGCCCACTCTGTCATGCCGGGTTTTATATTCAGTGGGTGCCAATATCGTTCAACCTGGTACAAGATGATCAATCGTTTCTGGATATTTATCACAGAATCCGCATATTATTATTATTATTATTACTTGTTCTGTACTTATTATTATTATTATTATTATTATTAATATTATTATTATTATTATTATTTGTGTATGTTATCTTTCCTGCTTTGTATCCTGTAGAGCCGGGTGGAAACTATGTTCCTTAGAACATTGTCATTTAATTGATAACACTTTTCTTAGTATATGGGATGCTCCTAATAGGACTTAACTTTCCACATCTTGTTAATCTCGATCTCTAGATCCTTGTATTTTGACAGTTTCTCGATAATTATATACATCCTGGATTTGTTGTCTTTTGTTTCTTTGTCTGTTTGAATTGGTATGTCCAGGCAGATAGTTACATCGTGGTTTTGGGGTAAATATGTCTGGTTGGTGTCCATACCATCTCTCAGTGGTTTCGATTTTGTGCTTCTTGCATATCTTCTAGTGCACATATGTTGCTACCTTGTTATGTCCCTGAGTATATTCATTTTTTGCTAGTTCCTGACATCCTGAGATAATATGGGCGTCATATTTATCATAGTTTTCGCAGATCCTGCATTTCCGGTTAGTTGCATCCTTGATTATGTGACATTGATAGGATCTACTTGCCAGGCTTTGGTCCACGGCTGCAATAATTAGGCCTTCTGTTTCAGCTTTCAAACCGGGGATCCTCAGCTACTGATGTCTTTCTGTTCGTCCACATCTGGTTCTTTCGTTCTTTTTAGGTATTTGTCATGTAACGCATCGTCCTCACAGTATTTTTGTAATTTCATTTGGCCATGTTGATTTGCTTTCTCTTTTACTCGTTTGGCGTAGATGGTATTATTATTATTATTATTATTATTATTATTATTACTATTATTATTTCTTCAGCAACCAGTGATCGTGCATTATGGATATTATCCATCATATCGTACGACTTCAGACAGATGGCACCTTTCACTGAATATTTCCAGTGCCAAGCGGGCTTCTAAAGCAATGCGATACAAGGCTTTATCCGATTTTCTCAATGTAGGAATTTAAAATCGGTTGTATAAATCCCAACGTTTGAATAATAACTGACACAACAATGGCCTGGTGGAACCATACTAACAACTTCAATAAATAGTATTCAAATTATTATTATTATTGATATTCAATTTCTTTTTCTCGTTTTTTTCTTTTCCTTCCACTTTAATTTTTTCTTCTTCTACTAATTATTATTATTATTCAACTACTTTCATCTTCTTCTTCTTCTTCTTCTTCTTCTTCTTATTCTTCTTCTTATTATTATTATTATTATTATTATTATTATTGTTTCCTTTGATTTCTGGCGTTTACACATTTCTTTCCGGGTCCCGCCCAAGGACCTAAGGTTAGAAATGGCATCATGACATTTTCCCCTGACAAAAAAAAAAAAAAAAAAAAAATTACATAGGTAAAGCCCTTCGTAAAGTGTGGGCTGTAATTGTCAGAACAGTTTTTTGTATTTCTCTGAGGCATGGACTTCCAGGAATCCCTACAATTAGTTTACTGGAATCTTTTCCGACCAATCCTAGAGCTCCAACTACAACGGGGATTGTTGATGTTCACACGTGCCACATTTTTGAGGTTTCTATTTCAAGGTCTTTTTATTTTGACAGCTTTTTGAATATCTTCAAAGATACATTGTTATTATTATTATTATTATTATTATTATTATTATTAATAATAATAATAATAATATTGTTATAATCATTATCATAATTATTATTCAACTTCATTTTCTTCTTCTTATAATAATAATAATAATAATAATAATAATAATTATTATTATTATTATTATTATCATTATTATTACTACCAATACTTTAAAACAAATTATCATAATAATGGTAGGTACTAACTGTTCCATATTACA